CTCTCTCTCTCTCTCTGCCTGCCTCTCTGCCTCCTTGTGATCTCTCTCTGTCAAATAAAATCTTTAAAAAAAAACAAAAACTTAGTCCATAGTAAGGCAAGAAAAGAAATGAGAAAAGTGGAACAGGTCAAAATAAGATGGTAAAAATAAATCTCAATATATTAGCAATTACAATAAATGTATGAGGGTGTGATTCTCAAGCCAAAAGACAAAGATTGTTGACCGGGATGAAAAAATCCGAACCTAACAAAATCAAGACACACACGGCTTACAAAAAACATCCTTAAAAAAATGTAAGGACACAGGGGTGCCTGGGTGGCTCAGTGGGTTAAGCATCTGCCTTCAACTCAGGTCCTGATCCCAGGGTCCTGGGATCGAGTCATGCCTCAGGCTTCCTGGTTGGTGGGAAGCCTGCTTCTCTCTCTCCTCCTGCAGGCTGCTCCCCCTATTTGTGCCCTCTGTCAAATAAATAAATAAAATCTTTAAAAAAATGTTAAGGACACAGAAAGATTGAAAATAAAATGGTAAACAATCCCAAGGCAAACAGTAACCCACAGCAAGCTGGGGTAGCTTACAACAGCAGACAGAAATGGTTACTCAGGGGGCGCCTGGGTGCCTCAGTGGGTTAAGCCTCTGCCTTCAGCTCAGGTCATGATCCCAGGGTCCTGGGATCGAGCCCCGCATGGGGCTCTCTGCTTGGCAGGGAGCCTGCTTCCCTTCATCTCTCTGCCTTGCCTCTCTGCCTACCTGTGATCTCTGTCTGTCAAATAAATAAATAAAATCTTAAAAAAAAAAAAAAAAAAGAAATGGTTACTCAGTTCTTGGGTGTCTACCTTCAGCTTGGGTCGAGATCCTGGAGTCCTGGGATCGAGTCCCACATTGAGCTCCCTGCTCTGCGGGGAGTCTGCTTCTCCCTCTCCCTCTGCTGCTCACCCTGATTGTGCTCACAAACTCTGTCAAATAAATAAAAAATATATATATAAAAAAGAAAGAAACAGTTACTGACAGAGTATCGCTACAAAGGGATAAAAGCACCAATGCACTTACTCGCAGAGCATCCAACTGCCCAAAGAACCTACAGAACTCCAGGGAAAACCTGACAGTCTGCCAGCAGAGGGTGTTCTACAAGCCTCACCCCCACTGACCCCTCAATTGAGCCCCTAAGAGGCCTGCTTTGTCAGGCAGGGGTTTTACGGGAGCACATTAAAGGAACTCCTCATCTGTTCTTCTCTGCGCCGTGGCGTGTAGTGTGTAAAGTGTATACCACACACCTCTGCCTGTGGGGCTACGGAGTGTGGGTGGGCATGTGGGACTTAGAAGATACAGAGTAAGTGACCAGACAGGGCGCCCCAACCCTGGTTCAGGACGCCCTTGACTGCCCAAGTATTGCATCGTGGGTGTTGCCAGATGACCATGGGGAAGAAGACCGAAGATGGAGTTCATATCTTGGTACCTTTCCCCAGTGGGGGAGAGTGTCTCAGGGCCTGTCTGGAACCCAGAGATCTTCCACTGTCTAAGCAGACTCAGTCTACACACAGGACCCTCTTGTAAGTCCCAGCGTAGTCGGAGCTCCCCCTGAATTCCCTGAGCCTAGGAAAAGGCCTGTTGCACCTTGCCTCGAGGGCCAGCACTGAAATTGTCTTAAGGGCTGAGTGGTTACTTGACATGAATTGGAGACAACTGGAATGTCAAGCCCCAAGGAAGCTCAAAGACAAGAGAGTGCAAAACTGTCATCTTCTGGAGGCCCAGACACATTCGGCCAGAGTCACAGAGCCAGCTTCTCCTCCTGGGTGAGTTCCGGGGGACACCGCACCCACCATGTCCTCACCTGAACAATGGACAATAAAATGACCTCTCAAATTTGGGAAAATTAGATAATGATGTGAAAGGGCAAACCCCAAGTAGATTTTTCTAATACAGACTTTTATTTTCTCATTCCACACGTCCAAAGCACTGTCACTGGACAGGCTATAGGAACTTGGCTGTGGGACAGCAAAAGCTGGATCCAGGGATGCCTGGGTGGCTCAGTGGGTTAAAGCCTCTGCCTTTGGCTCAGGTCATGATCCCAGAGTCCTGGGATTGAGCCCCGCATCGGGATCTCTCTCCGCTCTGCGGAGAGCCTGCTTCCTCCTCTCTCTGCCTGCCTCCCTGCCTACTTGTGATCTCTGTCAAATAAATAAATAAAATCTTAAAAAAAAAAAAAAGCTGGATCCAGGCACACTGCGCTTTTGGTCCCTTGAGTGATTTTAGGGTTGGACCTGTTCCATCCCATTTGCATCCTAGAGACTGACTTTATTCCTCATGAGTTCGATGCAAGCAAAGATATTGATACCAACTACCACTGGTTAGAAAAGGAAGTGGATTTTAAAATGGAAATAAAAGCATATTTGCCTTAATAGGGACAACACACTCAGACAGGGATTCCCCAAGAATTCCCCCTCCCATTTTCACCCCTGGCCCTCTCCATCTGACACCGCTGAGGTCACCCACAGTCTTGCCTGAGGGGACAGCCAGGACAGGGGCCTCGGAGGCTGGGGGTCCTGGGAGGGGTTATGCCGTCCTCAGCCCTGACAACCCGGCCCTGCCCGGCTGCACACATAGCACTCCTGGCATCATTTGTTGCTGAAGCCACGGCAAAACCTACAGGACCTTCCCCCCCCCCCCCCCCCACTGTGATGTCAATTACATTTTAGTTCAAAGACCACATAAAATGATTTCTATGTTCTCTACAGGCACCCTTCTAGCAAAGGACTACAGCCCCGGGTGCCGGTGGGACGGGATATCAGCTGCTGCAATTCCCATAATGACAAACTCACGAGCAGCCAGAGGAAGTGGAGGCAGGGAGGTGAGCCAGGTCCCCAGTTCCCCTCTGTACAATCCCAGCAATGGGGTCTCTAACTTCACTCACAGCCCCGCCTCACCCATCTCCCACACCACACGCCTATTTCCTAAAGCCCAAACATAAGGTGTTGTCTTCCTGCTCAAACCTTTCCGTGGCTCCCCATCACTCCGCTTCTCAGTTTCCAGCGAACCCTCCTTAACCTACTCAAAATGTGGTCCCTTGACCAGCAGCACAGGCATGGAGGGGGGGGCTTGTTAGAAATGCACAACATCAGGTCCTTAACCATAGGATCAGACCCTGCATTTTGGTAAGATCCCATGAGTTCCGACGCACTTGAAGGTTTTTTTTTTTTTTTTATGATTTTATTTATTTGACAGACAGAGATCACAAGTAGGCAGAGGGAGGCAGAGAGAGAGGAGGAAGCAGGCTCCCTGCTGAGCAGAGAGCCTAATGTGGGGCTCGATCCCAGGACCCTGAGATCATGACCTGAGCCGAAGGCAGAGGCTCTAACCCACTGAGCAACCTAGGCACCCCCACACTTGAAGTTTGAACAGCACTGCTTTAGGGGCTTGGGACAGAGCTGGAAGCAGCCCCGGTTATGACTCTAGTGAGTGGTAGGTCATTTTATTTTATTCACATTGTTTTGTTTTTAAGATTTTATTTGTCAGAGAGAGAGCACAAGTAGGCGGAGCAGGAGGCAGAGGGAGAAGCAGACTCCCCACTGAGCAAGAAGCCTGAGGCAGGACTCAATCCCCTGACCCTGAGGTCATGACCTGAACCAAAGGCAGATGCCTAACCAACTGAGTCCCCCAGATGCCCTGGGTAGGTCATTTTAAAAATTAAACAGTATCTTTCCTGTCACACATTCGGGAACCCTATTCCGAACACGGTGACATATGCCCTGGTACGAAGTACTCGATGGCACGCGCAGGCCAGCCAGGAGCACAAACACCGCAGAGGCAGAAGCAGGGACTCACAGGATCAAGTTTAACCTCTTCCAGGTCATACACAGACCTCTACAACCATGCCCACCTCCCTTCCTGCCTCTCTGTGCCCTGCAAACATCCACAAACCCTATCATGTCCCATTTCGACCTCCTGAGAGACTCCCAGAGTTGGTTCCGAGATGCCCATTCCCTGTGCCTGGGGTGCCGTTCGGGAGGCTGAGCTCAAGCTTCTGGGCCCAGACTAAGAGTCGCTTGGTCCAAAAAGCTTTCCCACACTCCCCAATGCTCAGTGGACTCCCTCTTTAGTGCTCCCACTGCAGTACAAGCACAGGGTACCTACATCTCCTTGTCTGCCGGCAGCAAGCCTGGGACCACAAACCACATTACTACTAGGACCATCTTACCCTTTCAAAACTGCCCCCATTTGGCGAACGACACGGCTAGCCTCAACAGGTGCTCAGGCCATGAGCCTCAGGACCACAGCTAGATCCTTGCGCACCGGCGTCATGCCTTAGCAACACTTTCAGAACGCAATCCACACACCCGCCAGCACCTGCAGGGACCACTGTACCCCAAGCACCCCCAGCTGCTTGTGCCCTGCCTCCCCCCCACCTCACCCTTGCTCCAACCCCCAACTCATTCCACACTTCTCTCTTTGCCCCAGTGTCGCTGCATCAGGTATGTCACCCAACCACCCTGTATAAAACAGCAACCCCTCCCTCCCCAATACCCCTTCTCTTTTTTCTACAGAACTTACCACTACCTGACACATACAGTTTCCTTCCTGCCTTAGCACGACGGGACACTGCTCTAAGCTTACAAATGTCAGATCCAAGGCTCGCACTTTGCCCACCAAGGCACCCCAGCCAACCGCAGGCACCCAGCTTATGTGGCAAACCAAAGACCAGCACCGGGGGTGCTGTACTGTGATTTTACATTAACAGAGCTGTCTTAACCCACTGGATCATCTCTCCTGGAAATTCCTAGTGTCTGGCAGACTCTGGAGGGGCCCATGGTCACGGTGAATGTTAAGTGACTGAATGAATTGCTCTGAAGGCAGAGGCCAGCCCAAATGCTTTCCTGAGGCTGTATCTTCTCTCCTCTCCTGTTATAGTCCCTACAGACCAAACCCTTCTCTGGCCTCCAGGCTTTTGAGCACATTCCCACTGGACATTCATTTGACAATAACGACAATCAAAGAGAAACTTTTATTCTGAAAAGAATTTATTCCTCTCACCTCTTCTTGGCCAAGTCAATGGCTTTGGTTATTTGCACAAAGGTTCTAAAAACTGGCTTTCAGCATTTGTTTTTCCAGGCAACTGAACTTTATCAAAGAAAGCTAGAGCTCTGATCTCAACCTGTGAGGACCAAGAAGCTTCCTGCTATCATTCTGGGCCTGCCAGGGTCAGACCCATGCTCCCCTCCCCAAACCCTTCAGGCCATGCACATGTCATAGGCAGCTGTGGCAGAGAAGCTCCTGAAATGCATGATTACATCAAAAAAGTGTGCCCCAAAGTCAGCCAATACACACAGCACCTAGAACTCATCCCTTATTCTAGGTTACTCACCAGACAGGTTACAAGATGTGCACCAGTTAACATGCCACAGAAAAATTACATTTCTGAAAAAAAGAAACAAGCAAGCAAAAATGAAAAGAACACAACTCTCCTCCTGCGATCTGACAGACTACAGAATCCGAAAATGCAGACGCCACGGCTCTTCATGCCCAACAACCCTCCAGGGGCTTCTCAATCTGATCCAAAGCAGCGGCATCCACATCCTTGGCCGGTCTGGGCTCTCCTTTCAGCAGCTGCAACCTGGCAGTGTCTTCTGTCTTGCAGAACTCTGACCTCAAGCCTCTTCCAGGCATCCCCAGATTCCAGGAAGCATAAAAAAAAGCAGCAAGGCACAAGAGTATACTTCGGAACTTTAAATAAACAGAATAAAATCACAATAACGAATATGACCGCAAAACAGCTTACAACCTAGGCCCTATTCCCTTAGGTAACAGTATTTATCTAAAAGCAGTCTTCTCAAAACTCAATGCACCTAATAATCGTAATCATATCCGCACACATAATACTGAAATCCTCTCCCCAGAATGATACTGGACATTTACTATTTAACATGGTGAAAATATAAGAACAGTATGGGAGAGAAAACGCTCTCGGTTTCAGCCTCTCCAGTCCGTCCTCTTTACCAGCGGAACGGGGTCCATCGGCTGATAAGCTGGCGTACAAGTGGGGAAATTAATCACAATTTAAATCCTAAGACTCTCATATCCTGGAGTCAAACAGACCCAACCACCCATGCAAAATGCTACCGCTTGCAGCTAGGTTATGTGCAACGCTCCAGTCAGCACGTAGGGTTCCCGTCCTGCACTTCTGTCTCACGCACGTTGTGCACCTGTTACCTGCGCAGCCACGTACAAACCACTTGCTTCTAATTCCCAACCTAAGAGCGCCACCCTGTGTCTGTTCACACTCCTCTCCCTCCGCCCAGCGGGGCACCACGAGGCAGGGCGGCACGAATCCCAGTCCTGCGCGCCGCCCCCCGACGACCCCCGACGACCCCCGCCGCCCGGCACGTACCCGCCCCCGCGTCCTTCAGGAGCACCCGCAGCGGTCTATCTGCCGGTGGAGCTCTACGATCCTCCGCCCCACCAGCGCGGCCTCGGCGGCCTTCCTCTCCGCCTTCTCGCACAGCTGCAGCACCCGCTCCTCCGCTTCGCCGGCCACACAGCGGCCGGGGCCCCGGACACCCTCGGCCGAGGTGTCCACCTCGCTCTGCAGCTCGTCCAGCAGGTTCGCCACCTCCAGCAGCGTCCGGCGGGCCCGCAGGTGCGCGCGCACGTGCTCGCGCTCGAGGGCGGCGACGTCCGGGCGCACGGGGCTTGGGGTGCGGCCACGAGGCCGCTCGGGCTCCCGCCGCTCGTCCGCTTCCGCCGTTCGCATCGCGCCGCCCCCGCCCCCGCGGCCCGGTCACCGCCTCTGAGAGGCCGGTAGGCCGGCAGCGAACGCGGACCCGTGGGCCGAACTCGCCGTGACGAGCAACAGGCTGGCCCCACTCCGCACCGCAGACACGGCGTCCGAGATGGGACCCCACCGTCCTCCAGAGCTGCGCTCACGTACGGCCCTTTTACGACACGGCGGGGCTCCCTTGCGGCCGCGCTGCGCCAGCCCCGCGCCCGGCGCCGTCTGTACGTGCGGACAGCGCCCTCCCTGCGCTGGTGTGGGTTGCCTCTTCCTCTCTGGCTGGCGCTTACTGCCGGTTGCTTGAGCTACTTAACGTTCTGAATCCCAAGTCGCCGGCTCGGTGGGCCCTGCTAGCATCCCTCTGCGCAGCGAGAACCGAGGTGGCGAGCTCGGCGTCGGGCTTCGGGACGCGCCCTGGCGGCCCTCCAACCCTCGCTGGCTCTAGGCTCGCGGGCGGTGGCTCTTCTACTAGGGAAGAAGGGAACTCAGCAGGGAACCTGCTTCTCCTTTCCCTCTGCCTGCTGCTCCCCCTGCTTGTGCACGCGCGCTCTCTCTCAAGCAAGCACGAATGGGGGGAGGGGCAGAGGGAGAGGAAGAAGGAGACTCCCCGCTGAGCAAAGTCCAGTGAGTGTCTCCCTCCAAGGACCCTGAGATCATGACCTGAGCCAAAAGCAGACGCTTTTAACTGACTGAGCCACCCAGGCATCCCTGGGTATTTTTCTTTAGAAACTCGGGCCGGGGGTGCTTGGCTGGATCTGTCGTGATCTCAGGGTTGTGAGTTCATGCCCCACGCTGCGCATGGAGCCTACTTAAAAAAACAAAACAAAACAAACTTTAGAAACTTGGGCCTGGAGTATCTTCTTCAGGAAGTGGCACTCATTCCTTTTGGACATCCAAAGCTTCTTCCATATCCCATTTTCACCTTGAAACTGTGTCCTATTTTTCTGGATGTCACAGCATAAGACACAGATTTTAGAATATATAAATCAGACATCACTACAGCTACTTTTAATGTCACTGCCATATGCAAAAGTGATGTTCCCCAAAGTTGCACATTTTTCAATCAAGATCACATTTCTATGACCAGCTGCGGACCACATCACACCACATGAAGGATTCTGGAGGAAAGGGATCTTTGTTACACAGCAGCAGAGAACCTGCAACCTGCAGAATAGTGGAAAGAGAACATATACCTAATGGACTAGATAATCATGTTAAGGAGATGTGAAGGCAGTGTTGAAGGTCGCCTGGATTCTTCTAGTTGTTGGTAATAGGATGTAAGAGGAAGAAACAAGTTGCGTATAAAAGAGCTGGGACTGGCTGGGTTTGCTGGGCATCTCATTCCCAGCCTCTCTGGATGGCAGATGATGCTAACATAAAGGGAGGGCTCTGGACAGAGATGAAGTCCACGTTGCTATCAGGAAAACACGGTTTAAATATGAGACCCAAAGGCATGACTAGAAATGCTCTGTTAAAACCTTAGGAAGACTTATGGTGTTGCCCCATAGAACCTTTCAAATACATAGAAGGCCGGCTGAGGATCTCAAAGACGTGCCTCATTGATCTCTTGCAAAGAGCAGGATCTCTAAGAATCCGAAGAACACTGTCCTTACAAATATCACTAAAATCCTGGGGTAGAGAACGACTTATCTCAATGAGTTTTGTGGGTATGGCTTTCATGGGTTTATTAGTTAATTATGAATCAATAAGAAGCAGTGTTTCAAAAGGAGCCGTATCAGTTTGAATTAAGGGAGACAGAGACTAAACAAAATGAAAAGGGAATCTTAGAACCCCAAATTTCTGCAAGCAAGAAGCAGTCGGGAAAAACTACTCAGCTGCAATCCTGAGCTACATCTTCCGAAGAAAGGAAAGATAATTCAGAGGTTGGGGTAGAGAGTCCAGAAGCTGGAGCCAGATTCACAGAGAATTGTTCCCAGGCAGTAAGACTAGGCCCTGATGGAGGAACTGGAAACAGCCTAACTGCGTCGCAGAAACTGCTAAAGACTGGTGATTACCATATGCTTCCTCTTGCCCTCTTTTGGGTTGTGTCTGTAGCAGCTAGATGATGCTGGTCCCACCAGGGCCTGGGGGTGTATGGGGCGGATAGAGCATCTCACTGGTTCTCAGGTCCGTGTGTGGAGAAGCAGCACTGAGGAACTGACCTAGGGAGCCTCTTTCATCCTTGGTTCTGATCCAGATGACAAGACCCTGGCCTCCCGACACAATGTGGTAAGACTTGGGGCTCTTCAGGGAGGAAGAATTTGAGTGTGGGTTTTCCCAGGTGTGGGGCGTGTGTGAACTGTTGTGGCCCGAGGATGGACTGTATTCTCTGAAGATGGCCACCACGGTATTTCTAGTCCCATGAGCTCTTCCAGAACCTTGCCCCTTCCCTATCATGAGGAGGGATCTATGTACCCTCTCCTGGAATCTGGATAGGACTTTGTGGCCACCTAAGAGAGGATGGCTCAGGTGGTGCTATGTGACTCCTGGGACATGCAGCTTTAGAGCCCCAGGGTCTCAAAAAATCCAACTACCCAGAGCCACCACAGTGGACAGACCATAGAGAGAGAGTCAAAGAGATGCCCAAGCGTCCCCAACTTTCAAGTTTTCTGAGCCCAGTCACCAAATATGTGAAGTGAAGGAGCATTTGAGATGACTCCAGCTCTAGCCACCCCTGACAGCAATTCCACCAGACCCTGAGCCCTAAATGTTGAACTGGGTCTTCCAAATTCTTGACCTATTCAGCTTTTTTTTTTTTTTAAAGATTTTATTTATTTATTTGACAGACAGAGATCATAAGCAGGCAGAGAGGCAGGCAGAGAGAGAGGAGGAATCAGGCTCCCGCTGAGCAAAGAGCCCGATGAGGGGCTCGATCCCCGGACCCTGGGATCATGACCTGAGCTGAAGGCAGAGGCTTTAACCCACTGAGCTACCCAGGCGCCCCTTGACCTATTCAGTTTTAGAGTGATCAATTATGTAACAAGAGATTATCAGAACAGAGGCCAGAAACTGCTGTTTGGTGAAGGCTGATGTACCTTCTGCCACAAAGCTGACATTGTCTTCTGTGGCTGTGTAGCAAATTACCTACTTGGCATCTTGGAAATAAAAACAAACTACCCACTTATTATCTCATGCTTTTAATGTCTGAAGTCCAGTGTGGCTAGAGTCTCTGCTCACTTAGGCTGGGCTACCTTCCTTTCTGGAGGCCCTGGGGAAGACACCATTCCCAAGCTCATTCAGGTTGTTGGCAGACTCCAGTTGCTTGGGTCTGCAGGACTGGGATCCTGTTTCCTGGACATGGGGCTGCCTCCATCTTTAAGCCAGCAACGTGCGTGGGATGCTTTTTCTGCTTTGACTCTTTTGGAGTTCCTCTGAAGCTATAGCTCTCTGCTCTGAAAGGTCCACTGGATTTTACATTGGACCCATCTGGATAATTACATCTGCAAAGTGCTTTTTGCCTTGCAACATAACGTGTTTGTGGAAGTAACACCACGTGTACAGATCATGGGAGCCAAAATTCTGACAGAATCTCTGACAACGAAAGCTGAACCTGAAGAACCCCAGGCAATTAGGCCTTGGTTTCCCTCTGCCTAATTTGCTGGTGACCTGCCACCAATGTAACTCAAAAGTCATACATCATGGTGTGTGACCTCAAACAGAAGCACAGTGTAATTGGGGAAGCCACTTCTTTCCATAGCCTTGGGACATAAAAGCCTCCATGTGGGAGGCTTTTAGATGCCCATGACTTCTTTTCAAGCAAATCTGGATTATTAAAAAAAAGTGGGGGGCGGCGTCTGGGTGGCTCAGTCAGTTACGTGTCTAACTCTTGGTTTCAGCTCAGGTCACGATCTCAGGTTGGTGAGATCGACCCCCCACCCCCCCCCCCTCAGGCTCCGCACTCAGCATGGAGTCTGCTGGAGATTCTCCCTCTGCTTCTCCCCTCCCACACTCTATCTCTAAAGAAATAAATCTTTATTAAAAAAGCTAATCTGGAGTGATGGCACCTCTGTTCTACAGGTCTTACTGAGGCTCCCTTTTTCTCTTCATGTTCATTCACTATATTAAAAAGTTTTGTTACAGAAGAGATTTTCTTATCCCCTTGGCCTCCCATTGTCCCCCACTTTGGGTGGAGGAGGGCGACTTTGTTAAGACATTGTGAAGGAGCTCACTTTTCCTAGGGTTCAAGGAGAGTGGTGCTGGTGCTGAAGGAAGAGCAGGGAGGGGGGGTGCAGAAGGATCAAGGAAACAAGGGGGCCACAAGCAGGAGTGACCAACAGAGAATGGAATCCTCACCTGGGACAGTGCCCACCTGGGACAGACTCAGTAAAGACAAGATACACCAGCGCCCCAGGGCCTCTGGGTGGTCCACAGACAGCAGGGCTGTCGCTCTGGGGATGGGCTGCACTTACCTACCCACTGGTTAACCTACAGGAGTAACTGAGCAGTGCCTGTCAGGCCTGGAGCTAAACCAAGTGCCTGGGAATTCTGCACTGTGAGGAAGGCTCTGTGGATGGGAGAGCCCGTCCTGCAAAAGCTCACTGAACCTGCTGTGGGAGCAGAAAGCAGGAAAATGGCAAATGGCTAATGCAACCAGAAAGCTGGGAGTCTGTCCTCATCTGTGTTTTGGGTCATTGTCACAGGAAATACTGGGGAAGGGGTTCATAAGAACAGTGGTGTGTAAACCTGTATCATTCCACCACGAATCTCACAGAAAAGCTGGATTGATCCAGGAGAAGGGAAGGGGGCATCCCACGAAGGGCTGGCAAGAAGACACAGGGAGCCTAGAGGGTGGCAGAGTCAAGTGTATGGAGTGGGGGGCACTGCATCCTAAGACAGGCCGCAGCAGGTGCCCCTCAGCCGGTGTGGAGGTGGCCTGGCACAGGGGCTCAGGACTCTGGCTGAGGAGGGAAGGTTAGGAGGGGAGCTGGGGGGGGATTTGCGCTGCTGACAGCCTGTGCTCCCCAGGGAAAGGATACAGTAGCGGGATGCCGGTGCTGTACCTTCCTGCTCACTGGCTTGAGAAACCTCAGGAGGTAGGAATTTGTGGGGAATCCCATGCTGCTGATCTGTTACCAGAGGCCTCAAAACCCCTCGGTTCCATGAAGGATGGAGGGAGGCTTTGGAGCAGTGAGCCCAGGGAAGGACTCGGGGCTGGCCATGCTTCCCATGGCCTGAGAGCACCATGACCTGCATGCGGGGCCTCCCTAGCACAGGGCATGGCCTCATGTCACCCAGCTTAGAAAAAGAAGACCCTCTCTTGAACCTGTGCCTGTCCATCCCCTTATTTCAGGAGTTATACGTATGCACCATTTCCACTTCTTACCCCCTTCACGCTGGACTTCGTTGCACCTCTTGGCCGCACTGGAGTCTCTTGGGCAAGGACTGAAGCCCTCAACAAGCAACACAAGGCCGGTGTGGCTGTAGAAAACTCCAGCAAAGGCAGGAGGCGATCAGACAGGGCAGAGGCCAGAGCACACAGGTTCGGCTGGCTGTGGAAGGCTTTGGTGGGTCAAGGGCAGGAAGCAG